GTAAATCATTGTCGATTCACTCGGTCGGAGGAATGAATCGACGGGAGCAAAGAAAAGGGACGACAGCCGGGCTCGTGAATAGAACGTCGCCAAGGAACTTGAATGACTCCACTATTCTGAGCACCGAAAAGGAATTTCGTTGGGAAATCTTTCGACACGAGACGATGTAGAAGCGCGTGCAAATAGCACCGAGTCCGTGTGCACGGGACACGAGTATCGCCTGGAATGAAGCTTTCTTCCATTTACATGCTACCGGCAGAGACATTTATAGACCCCGACGTTAAGAAGCGTCGTCGCCGTGACGATCCTATACTCGCGCACCAGCACGAATAATCGGTCATTTATCTAAAAAGAAATCAGATATTATGCCTGACAGATTATAGATTCGCGAGCATGCGTGAATCAATATCGAACTACGGCTCAACTGTCTATTGTTCAACGAAACGTTCAATCATTCTAACTAGTTATTCGATCCCGTTCTATAATGCCTAAATGTTATGCGATATCATACGGATAAAATAGAACAAAATGTTATAATTAAATGATTCCAGATTCTCTGTATTCCTATATTGTTATTACGCGCGTATAGGCATTAGTTCAATCGCGTAAAACGCATATTTGATTCGAATGGAATGTTTCGTACTTTCTGCCGCCGTGTGCCCGATGAATCGTTCCCTGCATTTTGCAAATTTCGATAGAAATTTCATTTTAATACAACGATTCTATCATAAGTACAGCGGACTGCGATGCATCCCAGACAAATTAATTGCCAAAGGTGAAAGGGGAAAATTTAAAAGAAGAAGATTTAAAAAACGAAACGTCGAATGTCTGTAAGAGCAAAGAACGAGATAGGTGTAAAGGCGCAAAGTGGAATAGGTCTTTCGCCCGAAGGCAATTTGTCGCGAAAACCATGATGCGCAATCCGAAAGCAAAACATAAAACGTGTAGGGCAACGTCCAACAAACGGTACACGTATACGCGCGGCCTTTTTGTACTGGAACAAAGAATTGGTGTGCGTAGCTCGCTCGTCTGCACCGTGAAAATATTTCACATATTTTTGTTAGGAATTAATCCAACCCGTAATACTCGTTGGCCAGCGTGTTCACCGCTGAAAATTCTCTTGACAAACAACCCTCTCGGCTGCATTCGTGCTCGCTAAAGGGCGCGTTGCTTTTGTGTTTGTGCGCTTCTCACGCGTGTATACAGAGAGCATGCGACCGCGCGTATAGAAGCGGTGAAAACGCGGGGAGATCCGACGAAATGGTCAGCGGTAACGTCCGCCTCCTCCTCGGCATGCCCCACGACGCGTTTGCAATCCCTTGCACTCGTAGCACCTCTACTCGTACCGTATGGAATTCCTCAAGTTTGCCCAGGGACAGAAATTAGTTGGAGCGACGTAATTGCTCGAATGTATGCGTTCGGCCGTTAACGTTATGGCACCTCTCATTACGGTTCTAACAGCAGCTGACACAAACAGCAGACGGGTTCATCCCACGTGTACGGTTTATGTATTGCGGGGACAAAAATTTAAGCGTTGTCTTGGGAAATCCTGGAAAAATTCAACGATAAATTCGCGACCCTTCGTGGCGACCCTTTTTTACACAAACGTTGTACGTTCCAAGTGGAAGAGAAAGGGTAGACATCGTTAAGAGGATATTCGGGTAATTTTACTGTTGCGCGTTTAAGAGAATAATAAGCGAAAACACGGTAATTAATATTTTCTATTGATAATACGTCATTTAACAATGGTCCTAATTTCGTTGGCGATCGTTATTCGAGATTGACGCGGCGAGTGAACGCTGACAAATTATTGTCATTCCATTGGGTCATCCCGTTAGTCATGATTAAGCAAATTTCATACCCGAGCTATTAATATTAGAGTGGTTGACCGCGCGATGTCCACAAAATTCCCCTGGCTAGTATAGAATGCATATACCGACCCGGCAACTACCGCCCACTAGCAAACTTCCTGAACTTGATTAAACCGGAAAAGGCTTCAGCTGCTACGCCCGCATTGAATTGAGAGACGGCTTTGTTTCAGACAATTAAATAATCGTTATTTAATAGAATGTAAGATTCGTTTCCAAATAATTAAATAATTGGAATAATTAGAATGATATAAAAAGCTGTGAAACCGTTATTGTACAAATTTTAAACAACGAAATAACTTCATTTAAATGTTTAATAACTTAATTTTATTTTTAAAAAAATGAAAAGATACAATAATAATTTAATATTTCTTTGAATTAAAGTTTGAATTTGTTACACGTAATTGTGTGAAAACTTTTTCAAGTGCGTCATAATAACTCTAAAAGCTATTTGCTTACTTTCCGTCCCTCGCAATATTTAATATAATATATTAATAATGAAATATACAGTTATAATTATCTGCAACATCAATACATTTTTAAAAATTGATGATCATTAACCACAGACAAATGTTTTTGCTCTTTGTAAATTGCCTTAAGATATGTCGGAAAGCTAGATTTCTAAAACATCGACTGTGTTTAACATATTAGAAAATACGAACACGAGCTCTTTGCATACATCTGCCAGAAAGCTCATGAGTTGTTTAAAGTAATGGCATTTGCGACAAAAGGTGTACGACATTTATACAAGATATACAATGCAAATGCAACAATTGTATACCCAGCACTTCGTCTACCGGTCGCTCGGATATCAGTTGTCCAAACGGCGCAAAGATATTATTATAACACTGAAGGTAAGTAAATATAAAACCTATAACCTTATAAAGCCGAAACACGCGCTACACGCATGTTGTTTCTCGTGAAATTCTTTAAACGACATATATATCAGTGACAAAAACCTTCATCGACTTTTTTTCCCTAATAATACATTACTATTACGTAAATAATAAATTTAATTTCATGGTTTTTGGATTTTATAGAATGTACAACGGTATAAATAAATAACTTTCAATTATATATTTTTACAGCACATAGACCAAAAATAACTGGTAGTTTAACAAATATTCAATCATCGGGGGGAACTGTACAATCTCTAACGCCAGATGGATTAGACAATAAAAAGTTAGACGAAGAAGCAAAGGAGGAAGCAGAGGAAAGAGAAAAACGTGAACAATCGCAAAGAGTGCTTAAATATAGTTTTGCATTCTTAGGAGTATTCACCACTGTTGGACTGTCTTATGTAATATATAATTTAACACGAACAAAATATGACGAACATGGAAATGTTATTGAAGATGAATTCTCAAATTTACCATTCTACGAAAGAATATATAAAATGCTCAAAAGAGAATTTAATTATTACACTAAGGTATCAAAAGCACAAATGTATAATTTCTGAAATGAATAATTTTTACTTGCTTCGCTTTTAATTCGATCACATGCTTTCCAGATGGTGCAAGAACCTAGCAGAAATAAACTTCTTCCAGATCCACTAAAATACCCTTATATTCAACCTCCTTATACTTTGGTACTAGAATTGACAGATGTTCTAGTACACCCTGATTGGACAGTAAGTAGCATATTGTCTTTTCTTCCTTAATTTTAAATTTAATATATTATAAATATTTATTTCTATTAATCGATCGTCTAGTATGAAACAGGTTGGAGGTTTAAAAAGAGGCCTGGAGTGGACCAATTTCTAGAGGCTATAGCTCCACCACAATTTGAAATTGTAGTATATACAGCAGAACAAGGGATGGTAAGCAATATTAGTTAATCAAATTGTCGTTGAATAATCTTACGTATCATTTTAATATAGTAATAATGATAATAATTGCCTGTCTCGATAGGTACAGAAATTTTTCTTATTTCATACCCTTGTATTCTAAGCATCCTTAAGTCTTTTTGTTTAAACAGAAGGCTCTTAGTTTTAACATTGTTTGTATAAAATAATTTATTGCTTCTATTTGTGCTTCTTTGGGGATTCACAGTATCTCAGGGTATTCCATTGCAATATGGAATCTACATGCTGAGTATCACAGACATTTGTACAGTATATGTTCTTTGGTTTCAAGTCCATACATATTGTATGTTGTACATTACACCATTTCCCTCGTCCTATGAAATATGTTACTTTTACTACTTTTATTAACTTCTCTTCTGGCTAATCTGAGCTGTGCTATGTTCTCTATTATATGTATATTATTTTAATATACCATATACGTAAAATGATGATAAAATATATTATTTATGTAATATATCACCTTTAGACTGTTTTTCCTATCTTGGATATCTTGGATCCTAATGGATATATCATGTACAGACTAGTAAGAGATACAACACGTTTTGTAGATGGTCACCATGTTAAGGATTTAAATGCTCTTAACCGTGATCTTAGTAAAGTAAGTATTGAACCCATAATTTACATCCACCTTTTATGTAAAGCAATTTTTGTCTATTATATTTTATTTTATTTGTTACTATTAGGTCATAGTAGTTGACTGGAACCCAAAGAGTACAAAGTTTCATCCCGAAAACACGTTGCAGTTACTGCAATGGACTGGTAATGACGATGATACGACACTGTATGATTTAGCTGCATTTCTCAAAGGTGCATTTCTTTTTACAATCTTGATTAATATATTCTGGAAATTTAGTTATTTATTTTGTTGGTTATTGCTTTTTAGTTATATTAGCGACAAATGTGGAAGATGTAAGAGAAGTTCTTACTTATTATAGACAGTTTGAAAATCCATTAAAAGTTTTTAGAGAAAATCAACGAAAATTCTTGGTATGTATTACGTTATATCTGTGTATTAAATCTTGATACTTATAATCTATAAAATTTGTTTACAGATGCAAATGGAAGCAGAGGAAAATAAAGCACAACAAGAAAGTAGTAAAGTACTCACGTCAAAATGGAAGCCGTCTTTTCACTGGGATCGCTAAATCGCTAGAAAATTCAATATAAAATACAAAACTCTGCAAATTGTCATTAATATATTCGTTCATTTTGTCGATGCATATTATGTAACTATTATTGTATAATTTTTGCTATAAATAAATAAGTAATTCATATGTCGAAATATTTTGTTTTATTATAAAAAATAATTATCAGATATTATAATTATCAGATATAATAATTATCAGATAAAAAAATAAGTATCAGATATTGCAATTACATAAATACATATTTTAAAATATTTTACACTCTTTGTCTTTTTCGTACACTTCCCCTTTTTGTAGAACGTGTAGTTTTAACTTTTGGTAAAAGATCTTGTAATGCATTACTGTCATCCAAATAACTTATATCTACTTCTTGAGATACACTTATTAATTCTTGAGTATTAATTGGAGTAGATACATTCTCTATTTCTTCTTGTGATAAAATTGGTGCCTTTGTATCTGCAGATTCTAACCAGTTTAGAACTTTTTGATGAGGTGCTGCTGTTAAAGGCAATGGGACTTCTTCATATATTTCCCACACAGCTAAAAGTTCAGGTGCTAATATATCCATATAGGTGTTTAATTTTTCAAGAGATTGCTTCCAACTTGGTTCAAAACAGTCAACTGAGTCATGCTTATGCTTCAATCGTAACTTTTTATTCGTGAAACCTATCAAGTTAATGTACATATAACAATCACTTTAAATAATTTTATACAACCTTTAACTTTTTTTTAAAAACGAATTATCAATTTACTTACTTTTAAAAGGATAATGCATATTTGACTTGCTAGACATTGTAAGAGGTGCTATAGCATCTGTTTCTATGGATACTGCATTTTGCCAAGCATTCAATATACAGTATGATTTACCATTGATAGGTGAATATTTATCTAACGCAATATCATGTGTTAAGCACTGATAATATATGTCACCTAAGAAATATATTTAGATTAAAGCTTGCTTCAATTGTCAATATAAAACGATATAAAACGATATAAAAAGCAACAAACTACATACCAATAGAATTTTGAAGAAATAGAAATATATTCTGAGTGTCATTTTTTATCAGAGAAGAACCAGTATTGGATAGTTCAAACCTATCTCTCAAATATGGATTTAAGCACATTCCTTGTATTTGAGATTCATTTAATGTTTCTTTAATGTGAGGAGGAGTATATGGAAAATTATATGATTGTGGAATTTCATTATCTGTCCAAGTATTTACAATGACTGTAGTTTCACCAGCAATTTGACTGGATAAAACAACAAATTCTTTATCGTCTCTAAAAATGATAAATTAATTAGTTATACATATATATATATAATATATATATATATATAATTGTATGTATATATATATATACATATATACATATATACATATGTATATATATATACATATATATACATACAATTCATCTATAGTTACATTTTTATTTTCTTTTACCTAGCTATGACAGAACTTGTAAGTGGTGGACTTTTAAATTGATGAGTCCATTTCTGTTGCACGCACTGCTGCGGAGAACGACTATCACACATTAACATACTATGATAAGTTCCTATATACCTGCAAAAATTATTTCTACTAGCAACATCTATTGAAAGATGTTCACATTTTTCCAAATAAAATTTTGGGCACATTGTTAATGCTGGTTGATCAAATGGAACCTATAATATGGAATGTATATTCATCCTTCTCTTATATAGACAAGAAATTATTTCTACAATATATTAAAAATAATAATATTAAAAACAATTAGTATCAATATTTTTATTCTTACCCGAACATCAAGATAATGAAGACAGCATCTATCTACAAGTAAAAGAATATTAGGATCTGCGGATTGAAATTTTATACTGCTCCATGAATCATCTAACACAGTGGCTTGCATTACAGTATTACAATTTATTGGTTTCCTAGAAAATCAAAGGTAAATTTAAATTTCTTATTCATAAATATAAAGAGCATATACACATTTAAATTATATTCACATCTTAACTATATCCCATAATGTTACACATCTTTCAACATTTACTAAACAATATTGATTTGCATTAATAGGACTTAAATCTGCACCAATATATGGTGTCTTCGATGTTTGTGTATGTACGTCAGTAAGCTTACATTTATTATCACGTTCAGATAATGTATAAAAATTACAATGCCGTTTATATCTACCTAAAAACATACCTATAAAATATTAAATCAAATATTAATTTTATAATTAATAAAAATTTTAAGTTATCAATACTATACTGCCTTTTATCTCAAATACTAGTTTAAGAAAATGGGTATGTATGTATACTTACATGCATCAACATTGACGTTATGTTTTAATTCATATAATGTACCACTGAGTTCACATTTAGCTGCCTTTTCGAAGAGTGGTTTCCATAAAAAATCTTCTATATTGTCAAGGGGAACACTTACTAAAAATACATTGAAACAAAAGATACAATGATTGTAAACCATAATAAAAAAAAAGAAAATAATTTTGTTATGTACCAATACCTAATTCTCCCATAAATGGAAAAAGTAAAATATTTTTATTATATAATTGTACACAGTCTATTGATCCTCCAGTATAATACCAATTATAGACCTAAAAGAAATTTATCTGAATTTGAATTTCTGTTAAAAAGCATCTAAAATTTCATGTAGATATCAGTTTATTTTACTCCTTCAAAACAAGGATCTGGATCTTTGTCAATAATTTTTGCTATATCTGCTACATATTTAGGTATCTTGGCAGTAATTTCACCTTTCGTATGATTCCATTTTATGTCCTTCTTATGTATTAGTTTTAACTCTATAAAAATATTATTAAATATACACACATATATATAAATACAAATATAAACTTATTTTATAAAATTAGCACATTTATTATTAGATTTACCTTTCTCATGTTTTAAATAATAGTGTTTCATTCTTTCTATATCACTGTTCACATAATTCTTAAGAGTAACTAATTCTAATGCGGGATCTTCTTCATTCAACACTATATAATTTAGAAATATATATGCTTATATTCATTTATATATTGATATTTAATTAACTCAATAAACTTACTATTCCTAGGAACTTTAGCAGGTGGTAGTAAAGGCTTTGGTAAGTCACAATGATAAGGATATTCTTGGTACTGTTCTATAACATTTTCCAACTCAGAATCAGCTGCAGGGAAAGTGCTATGTAAATTATATCCAGGTACTAAATAATGAGGGTAATGTTTCAAAAATGCTAATTTTAATTTGTCTTGCAAGTTTGTTTTAGCACGTTGATATGACTTCGATGTTAAAATACTCTGCTTCTCCATTTTAAATATCTTTTATATAGATAGCATGAGCATTTTTCTGGTAAAATTTATTATATTACTGTTCTTTCTTCCACTTTTCACTTTGATGGAAAATAACACAATCAATGGAAATTATTCCACGTAGCGTAAACGAAAAGTTAACCAGAATGAAATACAGCTATGAAAATACATAATTAGTTTACATTGCAATACGTATAGAAAATAAAGCAAGTTTTTAGTTTTTTTAAATATTTTTTTTACATTCTTAATGATTAATGTTTTTAGTGTTTAATGGTTATTAATTAACCAATATTCATAACGCCGGTAATACATTTGTTTACAGGAAAATATAATACACATGCTCAAAACTGTCATAGAATACAAAATTAGATTGAAACATGCCGTACATTTTAGAAAAATATATTTCAACGCACTCTACATCGTAAGAAATGAATTATACACATGATTTTATACTTCTGGATCAGTAATGATCTATCTAAAAGATATACCGCAAAATTAGATTTGATCTTGAAATTAATGATCTATAACTATGAGACTACTTGTTTTACCATTTGTTACCATTTACACATTTTTTTTACACCCGATATATTTTTTATTATAATTTTACTATTAGAAAAGTAAAGAGTTATTTCAAGGGATGTTACAGAAAGTTACTTGAACGAAAATCAGGAAGAAACATAAAAGTTTTAATTTCGGTTGAATATTTACTAAATATATAAAATTTTTATTGAATGTACAATACAGATTATTGTAATAAGTATGAACTTACAAAGAAAATTGGTTTCTTAATGTATTATCATCTATCTTTACTTTTTATTCATGTAGAGAACATAGGGTATATTGGTATTATATTAATACATTTGTCAATAAAAATATTTAATTATATAACATAATATTGAAAAAAATGAGTATCTGTTGATTTATAAATATATTGCATTAATTAAAAAATATAAGATAATAAATATGTACTGAGTTGATGGCATTCAAACAGCTATCACAGCACGAACTTTGACGTCGCTATATTTTTCCATGTACAAGAAATATCACTTTTATACTTATAGCATGAATACATTTAAGGTTTAATAGTCTTGTACTATACGGGATGTAAATAATGAAAACCGCTTCATTTAAAAGAGAAAATACAATTATACAATAAATAAACTTTACATGTTCCAGTAAAATAGTATTGATTCTGACTTGCAGCATAAAAGATATTCTTTCATTATATTTTATATTAATCATCTACTAATATTTAGTGTAAAAAATACTTATATAAAGGTACATATATGCTGACATTTTAATATATATTTTAATCAGTCTGGTTTTTACGTACCTCGTGTACAAATGATCTGAAAAAAGAAATTATGAGAATTTTGTGATATATTACTCTTATGGTCAATACTTACTTAATTATATTAGGTAAGTTTTTATAACGACATATATATTTATGTCCAAAACCATGTGTTGCATCAATCCTTGTCATCTGAACGCGATTTGTGTCGTTTCCATGATAATTTATTGCCGCTTTAAATAACTAAAAAGGATAGTATTAATATTTTAGATATTTATATAAAAAACTGTATCCATACCTTTTCACCTAAAGCAAATGGAACAATATTATCATCTTCTGCATGCAATATCATAATAGGACATTGGATTTTTTCTATGTGTTTATCAGATTCAAAACGGAGATAATTATCATAAAACGGTTCAACAATTACCCAATGGAACCATGGTAAATGTTTAAATATCTAAAAACAAGTTTTAAATTTTGAACCTATTGGAAACAACTTTTATAAATAGATATAAAATACTTTTTATATAAAGTACCTGTGATAAAGGATGTTCACTTAATTCATCTGCTATATTATTAAATGGTGATTCCAAGAATAAACCTGCAGGCTGAACTTTTTCTGTTGCTAATAATGCCAATACATGAACTGAAACTCTGTAATATAATAATGATCTATAAATTTCAATTTTATTATTAATTTTATCACATCAGGTAACTGTGAAATTTATACCCAGTTCCTAATGAATGTCCCCATACAAAAACAGGAGCTGTACCATTTACTATTTTTAATAACCATTCAAGTACATATTTACTATCACTAACTACACCTATTTCAGAAAGTTCTGCTTCTTCACTATCACCATAACCTATATTACAGAAGATTGAAGTCATAAATATTTAAATAATCATTTATATTAATTTCTATTAAATTATTTTTTGGTTCCTACAACTAACGAAAATTTTTTCTTACCTCTATAATCAAAACATACAACATGATAATCTAAACTCTGGAAAAGTTTATATAATTCTAAACGATGATTGCTTGCTCTATTACCGCTATTACCATGCATATAAAGGAAAATTGGTCGTTTAGCATTTTTTAACATAGTTTCATAATCATCATCAGTTGTAATAATTGAATCATTTAGTAAAGACTGAGGTAATATTTGCCTGAAAGCATGTTTTATTTAATTTGAATGAATTGTATGTATATTTACTTAAATATACCAACCATAGTCCTATTTTTACTTGTTGATCAGTCTGTAAATAAAAGTTTCTTGTTCCTTTCATTCCAACTAATTCTGGTTTCGAAAAATCTACATTAAGTGGCCATTGCACTAAAAGTACATGTTTAAATATAAAACTCAATAAATAGTCTGTATAAACTTATTTATATTTATTTACTTACCAAAATTTAAAAAAAGAATCTTCTTTTGTATGGTATATGAGTAGTGAAATATAATAGGCAGAAGCCCAAATATAATAAGGTATGTGATTATTGATACTTTCATGATCCAAAATAAGTATCTGTAATATACATGTTTTTTATATCATTATGAATAAGCAACCACATTGTGAACAAATATTAATATATCTATTTATTCATTATAATATCTTACTTTACAAAAATTTCTTTTTAATTTACTTTATAAAAATAATATGATAACATTGATAAAACTACATATTTTTACATTTTACTATTATTATACTCATCCACTTTTTATTTTTTATAAAATATGATTGAATAAGCATTTAAAAATAAATTAAGCTAATTAAAAATAAAAGTATATGAATAAAAATACTATGACTCTTATAACAAATCGCCAGTAAAACATAAGAATATAATGTATATATAATTATACCTTATTAATTGTATAGGAGATTGATGCATATATTTACAATTTAAATAATAATTATTGCACATTATTTAATGCTTGTAATTTGAAAATTGATCAAATCAAGTACAACACAGAAGAAATAGTTTATTTGTTTTATAAAATATGTAAAAAATTTATCTTTAAATGTTTATTACAGTTTCCAATATTTTAATTCTTTTATGACATATCTTGAATACTATAATAAAAAAGTTAAGGTAAAAAATATTTATTTATACATTTGAACATTATATAAATTTATACATTCTGTATCAAACCATAGCCAAAGGGAATATACATAATCATGCATTATGAATTTTAATAATAAAAGAAACAACATAACAATGTTTGAATATTTATTTAATATATCCTAAAGTAGTTATTAAAATGTATTAGAATAAGTCTAGCTATATTCTAATATACAAAACTTTAAAAATATTATTCATACTAAAGAAAACATTAAACAGAAGTTTTAAAAAAAAGATTATGTTGTTATTTTACATTTTGTAAAAATGTATTTAATGAAAAAAAATAATTGAATATCTTCTTCATCTCAGAAATTACACAAGCTTAATAAGAATTTAAAAAAAAAAAACAAAGATATATTATGATTATAACAAAGTGACTTACATTCTTGCATACCAAATATCATGAACGGCGAAAGGTAACAGTGCAGCTAATAGTAGATAAGTTGTCTGCATATTTGTTAGTAGCTATCAAACATAAGGTACCTTTTCAAATCCCTCGTTAATGTAATATATTTGTCTGTATACAAGTCATGGCAAGCTACTACTACACATTAATAATACAATAATAATTCAATTAACTAGCATATTTTATATCCATGAAAATGTTATATTTATAATTACATCAATATGAATTATAGTAAATTGCTCATATAAATTAAAAAGTTTCCAATTATTTCCTTATCTTAAATTTGCCAGAGCAGATAAGAATTCTATGTTATAAATAAGTGTCAGGGAAATTATGAAACACTAATTTATATAATTCCCTAAGAGATAAGCTTTTAAAAATTGTATTATGTACTATGTCAATTAATAAAGCTTTATCACTGTATTTAACAATTTTATTATTTGTTAAACAATTTGAAGTGTGAAATAAAAATATTGTATTTATAAAATAAATAAATATATTTAAATTAATTTAAGAATTACATGTTAAAATTTTTGGATTAAGGTAAAATAATATATATGTGCAAGTCATTGTAATAATTTCTTAATATAATTATTCATAGATAAAACTAAATTGAAATAGAAAAAAATTCTATAATATACATACTGTGAGTAAAGTAAAACATATTTATTAAACAAATTACGATTCTAAAAACTTAAATATTTTGAAAATAATGGAAATAATTACACTTACTTTTTAAATACCTCTTACATTAACATTTCAAAAGGTTAGTACTTATAAATGTAATGCAATTATGCAACAAATCTAAGATTAAAAGATAAAGAATTAGAAACAGGAATGATACCTCTTTTTAAAACGTTTCTTTGGTAGCCAATATACCATTATAATTACAAATTAGTAAAATTTGTAGAGCAACTTGTATCTCTATCTGTAAAGTATAGAAACACCAGTATATATAATTACGCTTTAATTATGATTCCTAGTCAAATACATAAACCATTACATTCTACACAAATATGTAAGGAAAGAACAAATTTTTAAAAATTGCCTGCTTCAAATTACATTTGAATAGAACAAATTTTTCAAACCTATTATTTAGTACACTGTCACATTTACTAATAAAGCAATCTCACAGACACAAGAATATATGGTCGTATATAAAACGAATCGAATATCACGTTGATTAGGCAAAATGTGGACAATATCATAGGAAGAGCCAGAGAAAGCATAAGAACTATAAATCAATTAATATTTCAATCAATTATTTCTCCAGAATTTTTAAAAATATGTCGCTTAAAAATCAAACTATAATAAATGTTATTAAATTCTTACATTGCAAACTATATTCCATAGAGTTTTTAGTTTTTGATCTATAAACTAACAATAAAAAAACTAAACAAAATACTATAATATTACAAAACTATCGACAACTATCAAATTTGAACGTAATTGTTGTTTCTATAAATATTGATAATTTATATCATCCTATTATAATTGCATATGTTACAAAGCGAAATTGCACAAATAGTAATGATGGTAAAATTTTCTACTAAATATTTTTATGCTTATAACAATTTTTTATATTAAATACAATTTCGTAAATAGAAAAGAAATTGTATAATTATTATATAATTATAAATTAAATAATATATATTTATGGTTATTATTTGAAACTTGATTGGTTGATTTATTTTCTAATAAATAGAATTATTATAATACATGCATATATAAAATGAATGTAAGATATCAATTTGACATCAAAAAATGTACCATAATATTTTTACATTTTCTTTATATTTTATTTTTCTACTATGGATAGTGACACTCGAGTTTCATTAGTCGATAACCAATAGTTGCAGACGCATAATCAAATTTTGTTTATGTTTACTGCCTCGTCTAGCTGGATCACAAACACATAAACAGTTCTCGATACTCTCTATAGAAAACCGTCCGAAAATTGAGTTGTGTCTAATCGCGGAAAATTAATATGAAAGTTCAACAAAACCTATATTATTACGAGATAGACAAAGATAAATAGAGTATCCCTGTCTTTGTCTGAAACATTCTTACCGTATCACGCATGCGCAAAACGAGAACATTCTAATCTTCTATGTTGATTTTTTACAAATGGTCACGACTCAATTTTCGGACGGTTTTTCCTAGTCTTCTGTATATGGGTGTCAACACCTGTTTATACAAATGATCATATGTGAAATATTCCAAAAATGCTTAGTTTGACATGGTCATAACATTTGAACCACTGCATATCGCAACTTTAAACTTGCAATTTCAGATTCTACGCATCGAAAACTACAGGATTGCACATAAAAAGTCAACAATTTTTGGACCCCTAAAGTAAAGTTTATCTAAATTTTCTTCTGGAAATTTGAAATTTTTAATATTGTAAATTTATAAAATTTCTGCAATAGTAGAGAAGAAATTTCCTTTATTTTCATGGACTAAGGTGACATTACTATGAGAATTTAACATGGAGTGTAACAGTGAGGTAGTGTATAATATTTATGAAATTCTTTTAGAACTTTACTAAAGTTTGATAAAAATGAAACTACTATTGCATTATGTAGTAATTATAAGTAAGTCTTAAACACACAACAGGTGGAATCCTTTATGCAAAATGATAGTGCAAGATGTCGTGAAGAAATTATTTCGCCAGAAGAACAATCATTACTGCAACTTTTGCAAAAAGGAATGTTAGAAACAAGTGAAGAAAATATAGCATTCAGGAAGGAGATATCAACTTGAACATAATTTAAAATAATAAATATCGTATTATAATTTAAACGCAAGACAAATAGAAAACTATTATTTATTTTAATATTATACCTCAACTGTTTCAGACAGTTCATTTGCTTGATCGTTGCTCATCGTTGGTTGCTGTTTCTAACCACTTTTTTGATGATGACGGCTTTTAGAATTACACAAGTATCGGTCAAATATTTATTTCAACACTACAGCATAAAAGCATATGGCGCAGAGACGCCGATTTTTTACATTAAAACTCGTTCTCGTTCAACAAAATTTAATTATTCACAATTTTAGAAATTTTATCATCGCCGAAAACAAATATCTGTCAATGAAAGTGGACTCAACACAGGCAGCAACAATATTTCGCATACAGTCATATATTTCTAGATAGCCGTTACCAGAGTTTGATCTAGGTGTGAATTTTCATAACGTACAGACGATAAAAATCAATATTTAAATAAGGATTTATAAATACACACGTCAGCTTATATAAGCGAATTGTCATAAAATGTGGTAATAGTTTGATGCAGATGTGCATTTGCGAAGCGGAAAATGCGGTCGATAAAAATGGTTAATATAAATATTTCATCTCACTAAATCGCTTTTCTTGAAAATGTGTGTTAAATTTGTGAATAATCAATGAATAACAAAAGTGTAACAGCGAGGTAAAAATGCGTAATATTTATGAAATTCTTTTACAGCCTTATTAAAGTTTGATAAAAATGAAACTACTATCACATCATATAGTAATCATAAATAACTCTTAAAAAACAATAGATGGAATTTTTTACGCAAAATTGTAGCGCAAAATATCATGAAGAACTTATTTTGCTAAAAGAACAGTCGTTACTACAACCTCTGCAAAAAGTAATGTTAGAAACAAGCGAAGAAACTATAGCTTTCAGGAAGAAGATATTATTATTATTGAATAAATTAAACTTGGAATCACAATCTTTGCCTAATGACATCAAAGAAGGATTACAAAAAATAGCCTTGCTTTTAAGGTATGAAAAGCTAAGTGATTTTGATGCTATTACTCTGAATATAGTGAGTGAAAGGAAGAAAATAGAAGAAAAGAAGAGACAGTATGAAGAAAAACAGTTGGCGTTATTATATGATGATCATTCTAGAAAATATACTATTTTTTCAAGGAAACTTAATTGTTTGCAAGAGGCTGTAAATTCACTTGAAAGCATTATTGAGGATTCTCAGAAAGAGCAAGCGGATATTCACTGTAACCATGTTTCATTATTTACAAAGTTAAAAGAATATCAGCAAACTGCAGAAAAGTTAGAAACTGACTTAGCAGATATGCAAGTAGAAGATCTTTATCCCAAAAAAATATTAAATAAATATCATAGATATTTAGAAATGTCAGGTGAATTAGCAGAACTTAATCAATACCTTAGTAAATATAGAGATTTACCACCAAATTTACTGCAAGCTAAAGCTCTAGTTGAAGTTAAAAAAAAGGAATATGAAAGCTTAAAGAACGCACTTTTAGAGAAAACAAAATGAATGATAGGTATAACAGTATTGTTAATCAATATCTTACTTTATAACTTTTTCACTTTTATACAATAATAAAAAAAAAAATGTATGTACAAACATATCTAATACAAGTCTTCTATATTTAAAAACCATATTTTGATTGTGTTTGTTTTCTGGTTAACCTATTTTGTGCCCATTGATTCTTCAATTCCATTTCCATATCCTTAGTTTGATTTGCTAAATACGTTATTTGATATTTTTTTTTTTAAACAGAGGATGTATTCCACCACCTTGCATAGAGTACCCTTTGCTAATGAATGATCACAACTAGCGACACTAAGAGCCTTACCCCCTCCATGATAGTCTTCAGATCGTGTATACGACCGCGACAGTAACTTTCAGTTTACCTGCTGTTTACATTTCAACTATAGCACGATTATCTAGTATTGAACGATAAAACTGTAAAATAAAAGCCGTGGCAATAATAACGTGGTATTTCAAGCGTAATTAAAAAAAGAATTCAATAAACGTTAAAAATTACATATAGCAGTAACATTTTCGAAGTAACTAACTTATTTCTAAAAGATTGATTCTAACCTTAATCTTACTTTCTTAAGAAAAACGTAATTTGCAGATGAGTCGTAAAGAAGCATTATCGCAATTTATTCAACAAATACATGGACGTCCTGTTGTCGTAAAGCTAAATAGTGGTGTAGATTATAGAGGTAACATATATCGTGGTGCATTATAAAATAGTTCATTAATTACGAAATTATCTATTTCCTAGGTGTTTTAGCTTGTCTTGATGGTTATATGAATATAGCTCTTGAACAAACAGAAGAATATGTAAATGGTCAATTAAAAGACAAGTATGGTGATGCTTTTATTCGTGGTAATAATGTCTTATATATCAGTACACAAAAACGTAGAACTTAAGTAAAATAAATATATAATTTATATTAAGCTTTTGTTCAATCTACCTTATACAAATATCTAAATAACGTTCTTATGGAATCTTTAATAACAGATTATTTATTTGACATATTTTTTTAAACTGCTACATTAATATTTTAATATAAAATTTTTTTATATTTTTATAAATCGTGTTATATTTTTATTCTAAATTTCATGACTTTTATCTGTTTTTTGTGAATTATTTTCAAGCTCATTATTCTCTGCATATGGAGTTTCATTACATTCTGGTTCTTCAAGTTTTTTTCTCTTTGCTTCTTCCTCTATTTCTTTAAATCTTGCAAGTCTTCTTTGAATAGCTTGTTGTCTGTTTCTTTCTATACGTGCTTTTACTTCATCACTTAAGCGCGAAGAAGTAGAAGCATTAGTTACAGATTGAGAATTCGTGGTATTGGACTGTGATAATAATTTATCAAATACATCATTGTTAGTAGTAGGTACATTAATTGCTGTCTGTTGCATAACTTTTTTTTGTTTTTCTATTTGTTCTGCAATCAATAAGTCAAATTCATCAATGGGTTCATCTTGTACTATATTTTCTTCAGCATCTATGTTATCTTCATTAATAATATCATTATCTTCATTAATCATATCTTGTCTATATTTCTTTATAAACACCTGAAGATCCTTTTTAGTACCCAATTTCTCTAGTCTTTCAAGAAAATCATCAAAGTCCAATTTAGGAAACAGTCTGTGCCCCCAATGTTCTAGTCTTTTCATAACTCGATCCAAATCTAACTTTTCATATCCTTGTCCATGAAACTTAAACCCTTCAAAATATTTTTCAATAGTGTGAATTCCTTTAGGACCCTTTAAACGTTCTGTATTTAATTTGGGTAAAGGATTTCTTACTATATGTTTCTTAGATGATGATGGATCAATTCTTCTTACAGTATTCTCTTCTTTACTTTGATCATTTTCAGAATCTGAATTCTTCTGAACATTACCCTGATCTCCATCTGACTCTTGATTCTCATATTCAGCTATTATGTCGTGCTCATCTTCTTCATCGTAATCGGAAGTATTCGATAATGTCGTCATATTCAACAAGTTGTACCGCCACTTTGTATATGTATGTATGTATGTATGAAATACTAAATTTGCATTTAATGTTCTCAGGTTGTCCTTAAATACAATTAATATTTGAACACAGAAAATTTTTTACTTTGTTTTTTATCAAGTAATATTTATTCCTTAGTAATTGTACAATTGTAACGGTAATATAGCCAGTCAGTGGTATTTAGGTTATGTTTCAAAACACACATTTACATTTTACTTAAAATTCATTATCATCTTGAGAATCGTAACTAGTATTTCCCTTGTCCATAAATTTATCGAATTCACCATTTGATTTATTCATTCTTTCTAAGAGGGATACTAATAATTTTTTGTTTAATCTATCGGTTTGCGTTATTTCTCGCACAACAGGCTCACAGTTTACAACCGGAGGGCGTTCCGTTATTTGTAGTTTCTGTAACGTATCGTTTTCTTCCTTCATCGGTGTTCCTGGCATTTTGTATTGTTCGATGAAAATATCACGTTCCACAATAACAAACTTGATTTTGTGAGAAATAAGATTATGTGATCAGTAATAATAACCTTACAGGCAACAAAATTCTTTAACCTATATGTAAGTACATACTACATACCATCTTCTGCGCATGTAGATAACTTGAAGAATTTTGTGCGCGCCTACATATGTATGTACTATCATTTCAAACAGTTTATTTCAGCATAATTAACTATTAAATGTTCGTGTTTCTTTAAAATTTAATAAAATGGATATATAATAACAAATACATATGAATTTGAATTTCGCATTTTAATTTGTTCAGCAAATCTAAAATCAAATGTATTGCATCTATAAGATAATTAATTGTAAAAATTATAAAATAGTCATATTTAAACATAAAATCTTAATATTTTAATGTATACATGTACAAATATATTTGAAATTTAAAAAATCATATAATTTGTTTAATTCAGTAAAAGATATGCCCAAAGAAATAAAATATTTTGTTTGTTACAAATAACCATAGCACATAGCAAAAGAAAAATATAAAATGTTATCTTATTTTTCCATTGAAGATGAATTTGTATCTTTTCAAAAAGAAAGATTTATCCAATTATTCGTTATTTAGAATATGTTTAAACGTTTCATTGAAACATGTACAAACATGTACAAAGTGCAAGTAATTATGATTTCATTTCCATATAAAGTACAAATTCCTACCACATGGCAAGAAGATTTTATGTAATTGTCGGTTCCAAGTGTAAAATTTTCATATGATACAGATCGTAAGTTGACTGTGGATTAGCGCGGTAAACTCAGAGTTTCATCAGTATCGTAAGAACTTTCGTACCGTGCGGAGTTATCTAGTGGAAGTCTCAAGAGATACAAATATATTTTGTATATTCGTCAACTTATAAAATTGTCACTCAGAAGGAAACCAGGAACCAAGGTAACCACATCTGCTGACGCGATTTATAGAAAAGTTTATTATTCAAACGCAATATCTTTATTTTTAAAATAATAAAGATAAATCTTCATTTTTATCTTGTAATTTTACGAAGTTTAATGTAAAAATTATTATAAATATTTATATCTCAATATTTATGAATTTGAATAATTAATTGAATTTACTATGTAATGTGTAATAAATAATCAATCAATTTAACGGTAATATTTTATTGAACAAGAGTAATAAGCATTTTCCGGTATAACAAATTCATAAACGATATGTATATGAATGTGATGTTTATTAACTTCGATACACTATATACATATACGTATGTAAAGTTTTATATAGCGTGATCAGCAATTCCGGATTGTAACTTTCCAGTGATTCGTTATGTTCAATCGTCTTAGAATTCTTTTTTAGTCGTTTTAATATTATAAGAGGTATTAGAAAGAGGTAAAAAAGGAGGTATGCTTTATTGATTCAAAAAGAAACGTATCCTTTTGCAATAAACCGTTGATTGGTTAAATTAATGGGATCGTATGTTTATTTAGTTGAGGAATCGACCAATCACGAATCTCAACGTCAATAGAAAAAGCTTAATGACTGCGTTTATCAAATATTGTCATTTACTCTAAATCGTCATAGAATAAATAATAAAGCGATGAAACATAAACATCACTGAACATAGTGAAACGTTATACTATATATATATGTGTTTATATTCCTTATTTAAATGACTATCTTTACGATTCTTTTGTAATATTTTTTATAATAACGTATAATTACTCGTTAAAATAAAAGTTGCTAATTTGTTGATAAAATACTAGTAAAAGCTCATTATCATTACATTGATTGAATACTAACAATTACTCTTAATAACCTTTTTCCATTTCTTTCGCAATTTCATAAAATAAATTATTCGAGCTCATAGACCCACTTTCTTGTCTTCGAATGAATCGGATTGTACTAACGATTAACGGTACTATTCCTAGTGGAACACAGGGAAAAAGAGTTGGGATAGAATGAAACTTTTATAACAAAGATGTCAATAACGTTAACATTATTTCTTTTTACGTTTAGTCATTTATAAATTTTAATAATAGTTTTATACAGCCTCATAAGAGCTTACTGGCGATATTTACGCAAATTGATGTTTAATGACGATGAGACTGTGATAATCTAAATATACACAGTGCTCTCAGTTTAATCATTAAAAAGAGTACAGTTTTCTGAAATGAATAAGCTACTAAACGAAGAACGGTATCACTGTGTTGGATTGGCTGTCTCAGTGCAAATGCCCCAGTCCCAAACCCAATGCATATCTCATTAATAATTTTTTTTGGTCTATTATAAAGCACAAATTGAAAGCAAAACGTATTTTAAGGTTAAGAACTTATCAAAGTGGCTTATTAACCCTTTTTGCGCCGACCGAAAGAATTGTACCTAAATAAAGAATACCGAACCAATTTGATGTAATTTGGTAAGGTTGATATTGGTAAGAATGATATTTACGAAATTTAAAACGGAACATATTACGAAATAAAGAAAAAATAAATTAATGCCAATTGTATTTCAATATTTGTTGAAAATTATACTAATAATACTTATCCACAATCAATAGGAAAAATGGAAAAATCAGCTTTCTTTTATAAACAGTATTTGCAAATAAGAAGAATCATTGTTTAGTCATAGTTTGATGTAGAACACGTAGTGTAAAGCATAAATATTGCATCCTCAATTATTTGTAACAAAATTTCTAATATCAAAACACAAAACTAAATGATAATCCCATGATGCACAGTAAGCGCCAGGAGGATTACTTGCTCGAAAACAAGTGAGCTGGTATAACATCACTGAAATAACATTCTAATATTATTATAAACATCTATAGTTATCCGGCTATTGAAAATGTGTAATATTTACTTATTATCACTCACATAGATAATTTATAATTTTGCACAGATTACAAATTGTGCGTGAACTTCGCACAGGCCCACTAAAAATTTTATTCTCGTCCTATCGATGTAAGATTATTTTGTGAAACATAGGAAGATACTCTATTCTAAATAGTATTATTTACAACCTGTGACTAAGGCTTCAAGCAAATCTCCCGTGTCGAATTTTTATCTTACGGCATTAGCACATACACAATCTCGGTATCAATCATCGCAGAATATAACGAAAAGTTAAACCCCTAAACAATTTTTTCAATTTGTGGAATACCTCACACAGGACTTCTGCAGAAAAATTCAACCATTTATAATGTTTTATAAAGTTATTTTGAGATGAGATTCAAATAGTAAGGCGTCATCGTATACGCAACGATATATCGTTGTTGACACTTTTCGCAACTGTTACAAACAACGATATGACGTTGATCGGTACCAAAGAGGTTAAGACTACAGTCGAAAAATATGGGGGTCACTACCTGTATCTGTAATCGATAATCGTATCAAAAATATATTAATTTTTGTAAATATATCGTGTGTCGTTAATACACTATTATGATACACTGTTATCGGACAGACTGTACTTGACGCCTATAATTAATGAACTTTTAATTACAACAAATAATTATGACTAATATGACGTATTTTTCGTAAAACACTATTAGAATATTTTACATAAACTTAAAATCAGACTGCAAGTAAAAACAGATTGAAAATTTTTTGTTCTAAACTTTGAATCAGAAATAAATGATATAGGTAAAAAGAATTCTTTAGATTCATAATTTAATTAATTATATATTTCTAAAGAACAACATATAATAAATATCATGTCGGTTTTGAGATATCTTTTTAAGTTTCATACATACTAAAAAATTATATTCCGAATAAAATTGTTCATTTCCGAAGTTAATTAAATATTAAAGTTGTAATTTGACTTTAATTACATATTAACAGGGAAATATCATTTGTTGTTACATAATCTGAAATTATCAATGTCATGTCGTTTCTATTTTTCATCTAATAACAGGGATTTCTTCTCTTGTCTTACGTAGTAGTATTCGGTAAATAAAATTGAAATATTGATATGGATACATGATGCATGAATATTTCGTTTTTTAATCTTCCTTCTTACAGCACCTCGTTTTTACTACGAGACACGAAATTGTGTAACATGTTATAAAGTCCAATTACTTTTTTTTTATTCTTCGTCACCTTATTTGTGATTTTTATTAGTTTTTAGATATGCATTTAGCTTAACGGTCAATGTCGTTTATAAAATCAGCAAAAGGATTTAAAAACGATTATAAATCATTCAATTGCTGAATCCTTCGACAGTCTTTGAATAATTTTCTCCTCAATTGTATTTTCGCTCAATTTCGCGTCGATAGATTCCACGAGTATATTAAGAAATAATGTTGTTAATATGTAATCTTGCGCTGAAGCTTTTTTGTGACAGTAAAAATTATTTTGTTGTTTAAAAAATCGGGATTGAGATGTAAAAATTCGAGAACAAGATTAAATGTACCGCCGAAAGGCAGTACGATATTCTGTTATTGATTTTCGCTAGTCGAACAATACCTTTGTAGTTTCAGCAGGCCAGTGAACTTCAAATTTCATCTAAAATGGTTATTCTACTTTTCAAAGGTATTTGTTAGAGTTTTACTAATTACAGATGAACTATTCGACACAGAATTTGCATAAGTTATATGAATTTTCCGACTAATTTGATAAATTATCATTGAACTAATAATTTAATGAACTTTCACTTGACGAGAAATTAAAGCGTAATGATACTAAACGTATGATCTAAATTCAACCTACATATACATACATGTAAAAAATAAACTTCGCTGACGTTTAAAAATAATTTATCACTTACTGTACGCGATATGAATAGCTGTTACTGTTATATTTATCAAGTGTACTTTGTTCACATCATCTCATGTCTAGGGTACATAGAACAGAAGAAAGTTAAAAAAATTTAGTCTAGTTGCAACATCGTTATTCTGATAATTGTTAAAAATATATTTTGAAGGCCTATGAGAAACTACGCATTATTACATACAAATGGTTATAAGTAAACAATTCATAATAATGAAAATTACATACAAAAATATCGCGTTCACGAAAGTTTTCTTTTCTTTTCTTTGTATTCACACGATGCGGTTTAATTACGCAAATTAAACTTCCTTCCGCGTCTACTTTGCTTCTTCTTGAATACTACATTGATATTACATAAATTATTTATACTTGTTGAATTTAAACTATAAAAAATTTGGTTATACATAATATAACATACATTTTTCATTTAAGTCGATGATTTTGAATGCTTTGAGATCGTGAGGTCAAAGATTATGACATATCTATAGATTACTCTGTACTTTTTGGTACAAAGTTTAGTGCAGAGCACTTCGTATAATTTTGAAATAATTTTGCGTGATGTTGAAAAATACATTAAGTTTATACCGCATTTCAATAATTTTAATATATTTGGATAGTTTCGATTTCCGACAATAACAAATTCGTGAAATGTAGCTAGTGTTATCATTTATAATAATACGTAATGTATAGTAATATAGTAATGAGATTGAATCATTCAAATCGTTCGATCGTATATCATCGTAAAAATCACACTGCATTCAATCATACAATACATACTATAAAACAAACACATATACACTATTATAACACATATAATATGTCATTTTAGATAACATGAATACGGTACAGCCGCTCCAGACAAATGAAACAATAAAAGGATTTACGATGAACAACAAGGTACGACAGTAAGAAAATGATCAAATAGCAAATTGAAAATTTTTAATTTAATTTTTCATTTTTAATACCATTTTTACACAGTGAAACAAGAAGAATGATATATTGATATGAATGGTATTTTCAATATTACAGGATATAGCCAGTGAAGATTCCTATTATCCGAGTAACGAAACTGGTCTAGATGGTGAGTATCTATGTGAATCCTGTATTAAAAAGTTTTGAATATACGAATATAATATATACAGGGTGTCCTAGCTGAAGGAAATTACTTAATTATTTCTCTGTCTTTGTTTTTAATGCCATGAAAAATGTTTGTAGATATAAATGATTTCTAACGGGGAACATCATGGAAGAGAAAGCTTTTGATTTGTTCGTTTCTTTTTTTTTTTTTGTTTTTTCGAGATTACCATTATTTTTTATCTAAGAAGCAACGAGGAAAGCATTTAAATATGTTTAGATTATGATCTTCAGATAATCTTGAACACTAAGAGGATGATAAAATTATAAAACGATGTTATTACATTTATGTTATTACATTTTGAAAGGGATATTCGGTGATAACTATTAATTTATGTTTATCGACGGACATAAACAAAATCCATTCTCTAAGTAACTGGGCAGCGATTATTAATGTATTAATAAAACTTTCAATCTAACCAGTTATTCAAAGCATGAAGGAGTTGAACTGATTTACATTTATAATAAGGCAAAACGACGCGTAAGAGAAGTTATGTGATTGTATGTATAAAGAACGAGTTTCCGATCGCAACAGTCCATCACGTTTATCGTATGTGGAGATAATTAAAAACTTCGAACGAATCAATGACGTTGAAAATAAAAAACTATCACTCGGAACATTTCATTTATTTTAAATTTCAAATCGTGAGTTTACATACTATTCTAACATTGTCTCAAGCTCATCTGAAGGTCATGATTCAGGCATATTTATATGTAATTTCTCGCCTGCTACAAGATATAATAGAAAAAGATATACGCTTTGTACATAAAAAAATGACAATGAGCGAACAACGATTTTTCTTCCATGATATTCTGCTTTGGAAATTATTTAATCAATCATCAAATTTAATCGTACTACAGACGTTTTTTTATGGTATTAAGAACAAAGGATATATTTAAGTGGCCTTCTTCAGCTGGTACACCCTCTATGTTATCATTATTTACTATTTATGTCATTTATTCTATTTTTATAGGACCTGATCAAATTTTGCCCGCTGATAGTTTCACGACTACAAAAATAGACGGACGTGTACGAATACAATTAAATGACGAAGATTTTAATCCCATATCAGTTCCTGGATTATTGTCAAATACAGTTAAAAAATATCCTAATCATATCGCTCTAGCAGCAACACCTGATGAAACTGGTCACAGAAGAACATATACTTTTACGTAAGTAATCCACAGAGAAAGTATGAAAACTTGTTTCACATGAATTATTAATTTTCGTCACGTTATATGTTTAGCGAGTATGAAAATCAAATAAAAATCGTGGCCAAGGCTTTTATAAAATTCGGTTTAGAACGATTCCACGGGGTTTGCATTCTAGGATTCAATAGCCCGGAATGGTTGTTCTCAAATCTCGGCGCTATATACGCAGGGTAAATATCTATATCTACGTTTCTGAGGAAGATCTATAATATTTAATTTCAATATTTCATACATAATTTGCAATTCATTTAGAGGAATTGCTGTCGGTATATATACAACTAATACTCCAGATGCATGTCAACATTGCCTTCAAACTAGCCAGGCGAACATAGTAGTAGTCGAAGATTCAAAACAATTGGAAAAAATATTACAAATAAGACACAATCTTCCTCATTTAAAAGCAATTATTCAATACACCGGCACACCGAACGAAAAGGACGTTTTAAGCGTAAATCATCTTATCTATGATCTATGATAACGAATTCATTATTATGAAGTGAATAATAATAATAATTTCTTTACAGTGGAATGATTTAATAAAAATTGGAGAAGCAGAATCTGATGACAAATTAAACGAAATTCTGAAAAGAATTGCAACGAATGAATGCTGTACCTTGGTTTTCACGGTACAAAACATCAATTTTTTATGAGAATACTTTTACGAAGTGCCATAAAAACAAATATGTCTTTTATTTACAGTCAGGTACAGTTGGATATCCGAAGGCTGTAATGTTAAGTCATGACAATCTTATACATAATGTTCGATCTATGAATAGAACTTTTAAATTTAAAACCGCTTATCAACATATAATCTCTTATTTGCCTTTATCTCACGTTGCAGCACAGGTAAATTATCTAAATTTTTTGTTTTAAATTTTTAAAATTATATGTTATATTATACAGGCAATCCCGCATAATGTCAAGAGTAAATGATGATTCTACGTGCAAGAATAAGACGAAAATGTAACATGAAATTTTTTGTCTAAGACTCCCTTTTAGAGAAAATCGAGATTAAACATTTATCAAGTGTATTTGAACATGGCTAATTTTGGATTAGACAAGAGTAAATGATCGACAAAAAGATATTCTACATGTGAAAATGAGCTGAGGAAGTGCAATAAAATTTTTTTACAAGATCTTTTGTTTTCAAGAAAAGTAAATTTGAAAAATTTATCATACGCGTGTGCTAGGCCAATTTTTAACTAAACATGTTCAAACTCTGTCTTCTTTAAAACGAAAATTTTTACAGAAAAATTTTATTCTACATATATTTGACTCATGTTTGCATATAGAATAATTTCTTGCTGATTGATTACTTATACTTAACCAATAATTAGCTATGTTCAAGAATGGTGGACAAATTTTCAAATTTGATTTTTTCAAAAACAAAGCCTTAGACAAAAAGTTCTATATCTTCGTATTTGATATATTGTTGCATATGGAATTGCCGCTTAGTTGGTTGACTAAATTATGTGAAACAGTCTGTATATGTTGTAATTATATAATTTTTTTGATAATTCCAGATAATCGATATATATTACTGCATATATACAGTTGCTACGTTACATTTCGCGGACAGGAATGCTCTTAAAGGCAGTTTAGTTAATACTTTACTTGAGGTACGACCTACCATATTTGTAGGTGTACCAAGGGTATGGGAGAAAATATACTTTAAACTGCAAAGTGAAATTAATACTGGATTTATTAAATCAAGTATTGTTTCTTGGGCAACATCTCAAGGATATCATTACAATGTAAATAAAATGAATGGTAACGATCACAAACATTGGGGCTATATCTTTGCCAAATGGCTAATTTTTAACAAAATAAAAACAGCACTTGGTTTGGATAGATGCCATCATTGCGCTACTGCAGCTGCCCCCTTAAGTACACATATCAAAGAATATTTTTTAAGTTTAGACATCCCTATATTTGAAGTGTATGGAATGTCTGAATGTAGCGGTGGACATATTTTAAGTGCACCTGATCATTTCAAGTAAATACCTAATTACTTTTGTACACGATATCCTATTTAAATTGATTGCCGTGAATATTTTAGAAACTGAAAATATTGATGCTGAAAAATATTTCAAATAAAAGTTAGATGAGTCTGGGTGACATTTTTTAAATTAATTTCTTTTTAATTTAGGTTGTTTGCGTATATAGCAAATTTTTTAAATTTAGAAATTCTACTTATCTATCTACAAAAGACTAACATTGAATTATATATCTTCTGAAACTATTCATTCATGTCTGAAATATTTTTTATCATCTTCTGGACACATTCGCAATGACCGATTTAAAAAAATGTATATCGAATTAAATTTTGATAATTTACTACATTAATTTTTTCTAATCTATTTGATATTCAGATTAGGTTCTGTTGGTCGAACTATGCCTGGACTTAAGACAAAATTAGATAATCCAGACAGCAATGGTGAAGGAGAAATTTGTATGTATGGAAGACACATATTTATGGGATATCTAAATGAACCTGAAAAGACAGGGGAAGCATTAGATGGAGAAAGATGGTTACACAGCGGTGATCTAGGAAAAATTGATTCAAATGGATTTTTACATATTACGGGTAAACTTATTTTAAAGTACAAATTCTTTTTAATTTCTCAATGTTAGTCTTAATATATTTTTGTACCGAATGTAGGAAGAATAAAAGAATTAATTATTACTGCTGGTGGAGAAAATATACCACCAATTCATATAGAAGAGCTAGTATTAGCTGAATTGCCTGCATTAAGCAATGCTTTATTGATTGGAGACAAACGAAAATATCTTACCATATTAGTTACTTTAAAGGTAAGATAAGATTTCTAAGTATTATAATGTTTACATTACTGTTATTTATATAATTTGCATATATTTCAGACTAATGTTAATACTGAAACTGGTGAACCAACAGATGACTTCACTGAAGAAACTTTAAAATGGTTACAATCTATTGGAAGTACATCAAAAACAATTTCTGATGTTTTAAAAACACATGATCCTCTTGTAAGTTTATATATACCAAAAGCTTTAGTAAATTGAGAATAAATTTTGATATTTATTGAACATTATCTATAAACTTTACATTTTCTTAGGTATATGAAGAAATTGATAAAGCAATTAAAAGAGCCAATACGAAATCTATAAGTAATGCACAAAGAGTACAGAAGTTCCAAATTTTACCAAAGGATTTCTCACATGCCACTGGAGAATTGGGACCAACGCTTAAACTTAAAAGGAATGTTGTTTATAAAAAATATGAAAATTTGATAGAAGATATGTATAAGTAAATATCTAAAAAGGTCCTATTTATTACTTAAAAGAAGGAAAAACGAAAAAACATTTCTAAAATAAATACAGAAGTTACAGAAGTCAAAATATGCCTACATAAAGTGCTTTAATATTCAAATTAATTATGAAATTACACAATTTAGAAAATTTTAATGTAATATTCTCACTACTAATTTATATGTTACTTGAATTAATCTTAATTACTAAATATTTTAAACAAAATTTAATTTTAAAACTTCCATAAGATACTTATTCTCTTATAACAACTATAAAGAAAGTAGACATAAATTATTTTTTTGAAATTTGAATATAAGATACATGTATAATGTATTTAGAAATATTCAGTATACATATATATATATATATATATATATTATAGTATAATTAAAATAAACTTTTATATAAAACGTTTTGATAGAAAAACTTTTGGTATAAAACATTTTGTAATTTATTAAAACTAAATTATTGCTTATCAATATATTTTTCTGTGACAATAAAATTTACACTAATTGTTTTTTGATATTCCATTAAAAAATGGATAGATAAAAGTGGCTAAGAATAAAATAAGTGCCTATTTCACATTACTGTAAATAATAATTTTTAGATCAAATTATATTTATATCTTTAAATATGAGTTACATATGAATATAATGGTATGTGGGTATTGAATATATCTAAAATAAGTTTAATACTATTACATTAAATATCTATATATATAAAATATAAAGATATAAAAAAAAATAAATTTTATTTGGCAGATGTGGGATATAACACTTAAATAATATAGTGAAATAGATAAGTAATGTATGTATTAAAAGCTTTTTAATATTACATAATTGATACTTTTGTTCAATTTATTATATTTAGCTGAAACATTAATGAATAAAAAGAATACAAATTTTTTCCAATGTGCTTATTAATATATGTATCATAAAAATATTTCTTAATATATACCTAAAAGCTATAATTAATTGATGATGTAATAATAAAATTATCTTATGTAAGTGCACTTTTTAAAAATTTTACTATATTAATTAGTTTTAAATATAGAAAAATGTATTTATACAACAAAATAAAATTATTTAGATTTCTATATGCTTCGACATAAATATGAAAAATAATTAATGTTAGTTAATGTGTAAAAACCTATTATTTAAATCATTTTTTTTTACGAAAATAATGGATAGGTAACTAAATAAATATGAGAAAGTTTAAATTACAATATATTACTAATGTAGTTTACAATAACCAAAACAACTATTATATTTAAGTTTCTTTTATGCTACATACAGATTCTTATGATAACTTGACATCTTATAAGAATATAGTCTATTAAGCACATCACAGCAACTTTGGAAATGCAGGTCTGTATAACGTTTCATTCTGAAACTCTATTGCATATACAAGTGATTACATTTACAGTATCATCTTTTATCATCAATCTCATATTTTGGATTAGTTTCATTGCTTATTTTAATAGGAAATTTTGAAACTCTACATTTATGTATTTGAATCTAAGATACAATGAGGATTAACTTAGACCTCAAAATCAACTTACAAACAACATAAAAATTGCTAAGTATTAACACCTTTAGTATATGAAAAAACAGAATTATAATATTTGACACATGATACATTGTTACAAATTGTTACAATTTTTATTCTTTTAAGTGCCCTATATCTTCAAATATAACTTTTAAGAAAAACTTTCATAGCACACATGTATTGTATTAAAAAGCAATGTATTGATAATGAATAAGCATTCCAAAAATATTATGAAAACTAATCTTTTAAGATAATACCATCTACAAAACATAAAGATACTGAACATTTAAAATTTAGATTGTGTATAATCGCATTATATATCACTGGAGTTACGATACTTTTAAAACATTACAAAAACTTATGATGTACTTGTTGTATTGAATTTTTGTTGGATAATAGATGTCTTTCGTTGTGGTACAGTTTCAGGTGTAGGTATAGCATCACCTGTTGGCAGAACACCAGCTGGTTTTGGCTTAGCTGTATATTTTTGTTTTGCCATTTGATAATCTCCAGAATCAAAATATTTTTGCTGAAAGTTTTTTCACATATAACTTAGAAAAATTTCTTTATGGCAATTTGCATTATAGATATATTTATTATAACACCACAATTATTTAGCATTTTAATCAAAAAATTATCTATTAACTCATAGAAGTTTAAATAATTAATTTATATATATGTATGTATATATACCCCTTTAGCTAGCCTCTTCTGTAGAAATGCTGAATGTCCACTAATTGGGCGACCAGTATTTGGAAATTTTGCTCTTAATTTTGCTTCTTCTATTTTTTCAATATCATTTGAAGATAACTGAAACAAAAATTATTTTATACTTTTCGATAGTTATTGTGTATAGATATAATTGTAAAAATCAGTAAAATTACAATATTGATACAACATTAGCTTTAACAACAAGCATTATCTTCAAAATATTGTAACATTTAAATTTTCTGGAACGAACTTGAACATAATTTAAAATAATAAATATCGTATTATAATTTAAACGCAAGACAAATAGAAAACTATTATTTATTTTAATATTATACCTCAACTGTTTCAGACAGTTCATTTGCTTGATCGTTGCTCATCGTTGGTTGCTGTTTCTAACCACTTTTTTGATGATGACGGCTTTTAGAATTACACAAGTATCGGTCAAATATTTATTTCAACACTACAGCATAAAAGCATATGGCGCAGAGACGCCGATTTTTTACATTAAAACTCGTTCTCGTTCAACAAAATTTAATTATTCACAATTTTAGAAATTTTATCATCGCCGAAAACAAATATCTGTCAATGAAAGTGGACTCAACACAGGCAGCAACAATATTTCGCATACAGTCATATATTTCTAGATAGCCGTTACCAGAGTTTGATCTAGGTGTGAATTTTCATAACGTACAGACGATAAAAATCAATATTTAAATAAGGATTTATAAATACACACGTCAGCTTATATAAGCGAATTGTCATAAAATGTGGTAATAGTTTGATGCAGATGTGCATTTGCGAAGCGGAAAATGCGGTCGATAAAAATGGTTAATATAAATATTTCATCTCACTAAATCGCTTTTCTTGAAAATGTGTGTTAAATTTGTGAATAATCAATGAATAACAAAAGTGTAACAGCGAGGTAAAAATGCGTAATATTTATGAAATTCTTTTACAGCCTTATTAAAGTTTGATAAAAATGAAACTACTATCACATCATATAGTAATCATAAATAACTCTTAAAAAACAATAGATGGAATTTTTTACGCAAAATTGTAGCGCAAAATATCATGAAGAACTTATTTTGCTAAAAGAACAGTCGTTACTACAACCTCTGCAAAAAGTAATGTTAGAAACAAGCGAAGAAACTATAGCTTTCAGGAAGAAGATATTATTATTATTGAATAAATTAAACTTGGAATCACAATCTTTGCCTAATGACATCAAAGAAGGATTACAAAAAATAGCCTTGCTTTTAAGGTATGAAAAGCTAAGTGATTTTGATGCTATTACTCTGAATATAGTGAGTGAAAGGAAGAAAATAGAAGAAAAGAAGAGACAGTATGAAGAAAAACAGTTGGCGTTATTATATGATGATCATTCTAGAAAATATACTATTTTTTCAAGGAAACTTAATTGTTTGCAAGAGGCTGTAAATTCACTTGAAAGCATTATTGAGGATTCTCAGAAAGAGCAAGCGGATATTCACTGTAACCATGTTTCATTATTTACAAAGTTAAAAGAATATCAGCAAACTGCAGAAAAGTTAGAAACTGACTTAGCAGATATGCAAGTAGAAGATCTTTATCTCAAAAAAATATTAAATAAGTATCATAGGTATTTAGAAATGTCAGATGAATTAGCAGAACTTAATCAATATTTTAGTTAATATAGAGATTTACCACCAAGTTTACTACAAGCTAAACCTCTAGTTGTAATTAAAAAAAAGGAATATGAAACTTTAAAGAACACCTTTTTGGAGAAAGCAAAATGAATGATAGGTGTAACAGTATTGTTAATCAATATCTTACTTTATAACTTTTTCACTTTTATACAATAACAAAGAAAAAATGTTGTATGTACAAACATATCTAATACAAGTCTTCTATATTTAAAAACCATATTTTGATTGTGTTTGTTTTCTGGTTAACCTATTTTGTGCCCATTGATTCTTCAATTCCATTTCCATTGCCTTAGCTTGATGTGCTAAGTATGTTATTTGGTGTTTCTTTTTAGACTGAGAACTTACTCCCCCACCTTGCATAGATATTGGTCTTTGTACAGGCTCTTCTGTTAATGCTTTTACTAACCATTCCCTTTCATCAGGTTTAATATCTTCTCCATTTATTTCTATAATATTTATTTCTTCAATTTCTTTAGATTTTCGTTTCACTCCTCTTTTCCCACAGAGGTACTCAATAGCCTTATCATCAAAAGCCACATTACCTTCTGAATCTACATTATATTCTTGTTCAGGCAGTGGTAATTTTGGACCTATTTCTGTCTTATTTTTTAATAATATTTCTTCTCTTGGTAAATTCATGACGTTACTCACTAATGTCTTTTGAGATTTATTGATACTCATTTCTGTTACAACTATATCAGAATTACCAGTGGACCAATTAGGTAAATTGTTATCTTCTTTAGGATTATTTTTAAATTCTAGATCAAAGTTATTTAATTCTACATTAACATTCAAGGAATCTGGTAAAGTGGAAGATGAAACAGTATTAGCTGTTGTTAGTGCAAAGAAATCTGTAACAGAATTACTATCACTGCCTATGGTTGTGTCATCTTCATCGTCAGAATTTGAATCATAAGTTATACTTATGGAACTTTTTGTTGTAATAGGTTTTATGAGTTTTCTGCTATTTGAATCTTTTATATATGTATCTTTGCTAGGTTGAACTGTAATTTGACTAGATTCTTTAACAACTTTATTAATAACACTAGGTACTAAATTATTGGTACTTTTGACTTCAGTTCCTTTAGGTGGTGGCAACAATACTAAAAGTTTACTACCCTTCTGAAATTATACATGAATTTTAATTTCATTCATTACAAATTATTTCTTATACATACATAATACTTACACTTGATGATTCAACTTTATTGGATTTGAATTCATTTTCCTTTGCAACATCTTTAAACTGCAATTAAAACAATGTATCGATTCACAAGAAATAAGAGAAGTACATAGAGATAAAATTTTATCTTACTTCAGATACAGACGGCACTGTTATTTTAACTGGAACTCGATTCCTTTTTATTGGTCTCTCAGATTTAAATTCAATTTCCTTTTTCGGTGGTATATCATCTTCTTCTGTGACATCCTTTGCTTCAGTAATCATACTTTTGGGTTTAGGTAACTTATCAAAGTGTATTTTTTCTAATGATGCGCTTGTCTTAGGTATTTCTATGTTAATACTATTTTCACCACCTTTTTCTGCAAATATACTGTGTTCTGAAGTAGGTAAATATAACTTGTGATTTGTGTGTAAAACTGTAACCTCTGAAGTAACTCTATTTTCGATTTCGGTATTGCAATTACTTCTTTCATCGTCTGAACTTTCATCGCTACTTCCATATGCAACGAGACTCATTTTCACGTGAAAAGAATTATCGTTCATATAAATAAAATCACTGCTTGATGCAACATATACGTTAGAATTAGAACCTCAGAAAAATATTAATGACTGTATAATTATACACATACATATACAATGTATGAGAAGGTATGAGATAAATTTATTTAATGTATAGCCAGAGATGAACTCTGGTATAGCCTGAAAATTTCTCTATTATTTTTGTTGCTTTCAACGTTATTGATTCAGCTAAGAATAAACAATAAACTTTTAACGTTATAACCACTAGTGAGATACAATTCACGATCATATAATTATATAATGTAATCATTTATGTGATCGTAGTCATAATCTATACAACAAGCCGAAGCAGTAAACATAAACAAAATGTGATTGCTGCAACTGCAACTATTGGCTGCCGACTATACTCCATCCAATGAGAGAGTCAGTAAAGATAAACAAAACGTGATTGTTGCGGTTGCTGCTATTGTCTACTGCTAGTTAAACTTGCGTGTATATACATTCTATATACATATATATGATACAAATGGATGCAATCTTCTTTGTTTGTTGTGCCATCGTGTAATTCCGCAGCCACTTCTCGTCTCTGTATTCGCATATCTAAGCAAAAGTCACCTAGTGGTAGAATTCGCAACTGCTGAAAACTATACCATAAAGCAGGTTCCTCTCTGGTTATATACCACGGTTACACTGAAAACGTTAAAAATTATCTAAAAATTTAGATTTTTAACCCAGTTGTTAAATTGATTCCTTTGTCACTTTAGCTTTACAAATAAATTACATGTTACATTGTTTGTATTGTAACATGTTGTAAATTACAATTACATGCTACATTATGAAAAATCATAAACATGATGTATTAATTTGAAACACGATCATGTGAACCGATTCGTATTTGCCTCCACAGCAAATGACCTTAGCACATACAACTTTCAGGTGCAAAGACAAGGCTCTCTGGTAGGACTTGGGTGTCCGAATAATACCTAATTTGTGGTTATAATAAGTTAAAGTATAAAATTACTTTTAAAAATTTTACAATATGATAGGCACTTTATTCTCCAGTGCATGTCAAACATTTCCGTATGATGTTATTCAGTATATTTGATCGAAATAATATATAAGTCGGTGTGCTTTTCTTAGTTACACTGTTTTACAGGCGGCTTGCATCGTTGAGTCCAATAATAACCAATCCATGGGGTCTTATATTGAGTAGAACTAGAATGAGGTATCATTTTCCCCGTCCTAATGAGCGTCGTCGTATTAAACGACATGGATGGGATACAAGGATGTCAACTTTAAGTGGACGGAAAATTCTTATGAGAAGAATATTGAAAGGCAAATACGTACTTAGTCATTAAATATTGTATTTTGAGTCATTACTAAATAATTATATTGTTTTCTTAAATAAATATATTAGAATACTATATATAAGGTTAAGAAATATGATTTTACAAAATAAAAAGACTCAGATTTAAATCATGGTATTTATAATGCTGATTGTGATTTATAAGACATTATTGGCATTAAATATTTAAAATCAAGCTGTTTACATGTCCAATCAAAAGGTGGCATTAAAGGAGCTTCAATTGTTAAAGTTTCTCCAAAAAATTGTTGTAGAACTACTGACTTTAAGTGAATGTGAACAGGAATAATTTCTTGTTGATTATGCCTTACATTTAACAATCGCAGAAGTCTTATATCCAATTTTGGTAGTCCAGGACTAGTAAGAAATGGGTCAACTCTTACATAAGTATTCCCTATTTTCTGAATCCGAGATGCATAAATATTATCTCCTAGAATTGGAGTATACATATATGTAGTAGCAAACATTCTAAGAGCATTTTTACTATGAGTAGATGATTTTAATTCAATTAAAGAACACAAATTAAGTGTAGAGTTGGATAACACCTTGTATTGTGTTTTTAACAGTTTTATCTTGCGATACTTTTCTTCATTTTGAGACCATGATGACGTAAGAATCATCTGAAATTTTTTTTATGGTAATATATAATTTCTTTTCAAACAGTATTTGATAAACTTACCTTTCTGTGGTTAAATTGAGGATTTGAAATTACTTTAATTCCCAAACGGGTCTGACCTTTCAATTGTTTTGGTATACCGACTGTAATTATCCAATAAGTATTTGTTTCAAAGTGAGAACGAGCACATGCAAGTTCTATAGCATGATGAACACGCTCATCTGCTGCTAATAATGTAATACCACTCATATACCTAATTTCAAGAATAATTGTGAATGTAAATAAGAAACACACTATTAACAATTATTAATAAATGATTTGTAGTTACATTTCAGGGCATCTAACTATAGTTAAATTTAAATAATTCAATTGTTTAGCTATATAAGGTAAAGCATCATTTAATGTATAATTTACACTATTGGGTAGATTATTTCGTGTAGGTATTGTGCTTGTGTCAGGAGTCCTGCGTCTTATTCCGTATGGTTTATTCAATGCTACTAATCCATCTATAAAATCAAAATTAAAGCTTGAAACCTGAAGATATAAGTTTATGTTAAGTGTATTACCTTTATTATAAACTATATTGTTTAAAAGATCATCCGAAAATTGTCTAAATGATTTCCAGGGATGAATATGTTTATAAGGATGATTTTCTATATAATTTCTTTTCAATATTTTTCTACATGATGTACCTCTGGTATATGCACATTTGAGTGCATAAGATCTAGTTATTAAAGTTAGCATTCTAATTTCATTGATTCCAATACAATCTTTTTTATGATTTCATCAAAAAACTATCAAGATGCAAGATACCTTAAAAAACATAGGTTAAGTCACAGCTGAGTCGATGTAGTTAAGTAATAACTCAGTAAATAAGTTGTGTATGTATACATTGTAACATTTGCAATAAAAGAGGATTCACAATATAAAAGCAGTAAATAATTAATTTAAATCCAGCTTTAATTAGTACTATTGAATATAAAAAGGATATTTCGGATAAAATATTTGTCTTATTAAATTCTGAAATTAATATTTCAAAATAACTATATGCACATAACACAGGCCTTACAGCTTACACGGTGTTCATAGAAACATTGCCTGAGACAGTTAGACAGCAAATTAAGTAAAGATGGCAACCACCGTGGATTCGGTTAGGGAAAAAGCCCTTCAAGATTATCGAAAAAAGCTTATAGAACATAAAGAAGTGGAGTCACGTTTAAAGGAAAGTAAGTTAAATCTATTAGATATATTGATTTTGCTTGTTGTACTTCTATACAAAATTTGGAATACTTAACCTTAATCTTACATACATGGATTATTATTATTATTAAAGAACCTATTTATATTTATGTACATGATTTAATAAACTTTTACCATATTTTTATCTTTTTAGTGAGAGAGCATCTCAAAGATTTAACAAAACAGTATGATAAATCTGAAAGTGATTTGAAAGCATTACAAAGTGTTGGTCAGGTATGTTATAAATCTTATTTTTAATGATTCTTAGTATTTTCTATTATAAATGTAATGTATTTACACTTTAGATCGTCGGAGAAGTATTGAAACAACTTACAGAAGAAAAGTGTAAGTTTAAGTAAAGTTTCTGAGTAAAATAAAAAGGTGTCCTTATATATAATATATATATAAACACATAGGTTTTTATTTATAGTTATAGTAAAAGCAACAAATGGTCCACGTTATGTTGTTGGATGTAGGCGCCAACTTGATAAAAATAAATTGAAATCTGGAACAAGAGTAGCCCTTGACATGACTACTCTTACTATAATGCGTTATTTGCCCCGTGAGGTAAAATTTATTTTGCCATAAATCAATGTTACATATTTCAGTAAACTTTAAATGTTTATTTATATATTTAGGTTGACCCATTAGTTTATAATATGTCACATGAAGATCCTGGAGATGTTACATATAGTGCAATTGGTGGTCTAAGTGAACAAATACGTGAACTGAGAGAAGTTATAGAATTACCATTACTAAATCCTGAGTTATTTCAAAGAGTTGGTATCACCCCTCCAAAAGGATGTCTCTTGTATGGCCCACCAGGAACTGGAAAAACATTATTGGCTAGAGCAGTTGCTAGTCAGTTAGATGCAAATTTTTTGAAAGTTGTGTCAAGTGCTATTGTTGATAAATATATTGGTGAATCAGCAAGGTTAATTAGAGAAATGTTCAATTATGCACGAGATCATCAACCTTGTATTATATTTATGGATGAGATTGATGCAATTGGTATAAATATTATTATTCGTAAGAAAAAAAGGAAGGAGGAGAGTAAAAAATAAAATGTCTTTAATTGTCTATTCTTATGCAGGTGGACGCAGATTTTCGGAAGGTACAAGTGCCGACCGAGAAATTCAAAGAACTTTGATGGAATTGTTGAATCAAATGGATGGTTTTGATTCTTTAGGTCAAGTTAAAATGATAATGGCTACAAATAGACCAGACACTTTAGATCCAGCTTTGTTACGACCGGGTAGATTAGACAGGAAAATCGAAATTCCACTACCCAATGAACAAGCACGTTTAGAAATTTTAAAAATTCATGCTGGTCCTATATCTAAGCATGGAGAAATTGGTAATTTTTATCTTTACTTCAACAAAATTTCTTTTCTCGTTTTATAGACGCTCCTAATCATTTTAAATTTATTTCAGATTATGAAGCAGTAGTTAAGCTTTCAGATGGATTTAATGGTGCTGACTTAAGAAATGTTTGCACTGAAGCAGGATTATTCGCAATAAGATTAGAAAGGGAATATGTAATACAAGAAGATTTTATGAAAGCAGTAAGGAAAGTCTCAGATAATAAGAAGCTTGAGTCAAAATTAGATTACAAGCCTGTTTAATTTATATACATATAATGATTACATGAAATTTCAAATTCAATTCATTTACTAAATACTGTGTGGATTAATAAACTTATCTTACTTTATTGTAATACTATTTGTATTTTATAATGAAAATATCTATGAAATTTCTATTAAACATTTTATTTCAATCTAATGTTATTTTTTATAATTATATTTTTTTCTATATAAAAATCATTCATACCTGCTATAATGTTACATGCAATTGATTATGCATCAATTGAATTTGTAAGACGCGTTTTTTTCCGTTGTAAATATTCTTGCACATTATCATATTTTCTTTTATACAGGATTGAAAATAAATTTTGTTGAGTAAAATCTTTTTTTAGTGTTTTCCAATAATTATTTAAGTTATTTATTTTATAATCTGCTCCATCAGTAAGTATAAAATTGTTATTTTTAAATTCATATATTTTAAATCCAAGTTCATTTAATATCCATAGATTATTTTTGTACAGATAACATTCTATTGGTTCGCTGTCTGCAATTATAGATTGCACATATACTACTTCAAAGTTTGATTTTGATGTGCTATTAATTATGTATACTAATAATAACGTATTATTATAAAAGCTCATTATAGCTAAAGATGAAGTTGTATTAAGTGCCAAAAGCTTTAAATGTTTAACAGGTAAAACATCAACAAACTCTTCTAAGTTATAATTATGAAGTTGTTCGTTAAACTTTTCAATATCACTTTTAGATATTTTATTATGAAAATTAATACATAATAATTCTTTTCCAATCTTGTAGTCCCATAATATAAACATTCCATCTCCTCCACAAGATATTAAAACATTTTTGTCATGAGGTAATTCCAAAATGTTTGTTACAAATTTTGTATGTCCTAAACAATAGGATACAATATTATATGAATTTGGGAACATAGACACTCTAATTTTTTCATCTCTATCTGTTGTAATAATGTACTTTCCATCTTCCGTAATTAATATGTCAAGTAACATTGATAAATGTCCTAAAAGTAGGACCCCATTGTCAGACTGCTTATTAGAAAATAGGTAAACATCTCCTGTTTTATCAGCAACAACTATGTCGTTGTTTGGAGTAAATTGCACTTTGCTGGCAGCTCTAGGAAGTATTTTATTTAACACAAGATTTTGACTTTTTCTTTCATACAAACATAGTTGCTTACGATTTGTATAGACAAAGAAATATTTTCCATCATATGAGAACATTACGTTGGTAATCGTGTGAGAAGTTTCTTTGTTTACGTTGTTATGCAAATCAACTTTTTTATCACTTTGCAATTTAGGTAAAGAAATAGTTGTTTCTGTACCATTTTCAATATTATACATTACAATTTGTTCATTATTACATATAATAATGTCTGATTCGTATATACAAAAACTCATTATTGAAAAATGAAATTTTTATGAGCAAAAAATACAATAATTTTAATTAGAACACTATTTTTACGTTTATTATTATATGTTGTTCATATATTCGAAAAGAATAAATTTGTATATATTTTACTAAGTTATAAAATTTTAATAAATTAAATCCTTTTTTCGATTATATATCACATATATTAACTTTTAAAATTGTCAACATTCACTGCACATGAATAGTTCCGCGTGGATTGCATGTTGAATGTGTGATATAAACTATACATGTAAACTATATTATGTCCATCGAGACGTGAGACAAGGTAGTAGATTATACAGTAGTAGAATAGTATCAACTGGTACCAACTTTTACAAAAGAAATTATAGATGTATGAAAATCCAGAAACATAAATACAGAATCAAATTCCTTGAAAAAATTATTTAGTATTAAACATTTTTAACCGTTTCTAATATCGCGAAAAAGCTGTGAAGATCTCTTTCGTTAGATCAATATCTTTAAAAGATTTATCTATTAATGTGTATCATCAATTAAGTACATGTATGTCTTTCTAACCGTTGCATTCTTAAGCAGCTTAAAGCGTAAGCGTAAATATCATTGTCTTCAACTTTTGACAAACATACAAACATGTATGTGACATAATGTTGATTAATCGCGCGAAAAATACATATATATATATTTGTTAATCATCTTTTGTTTGCAATTTGTCTGCAAATTGCAATAGATATGTGTCATGCTTTGCATATATAATAGAAATCCTCAATGCATATAAAAGTGATACGAAATGACAATATGTGTTATTAAAAGGTATGAGAGACATAAAAAATCCATAAACATTTCTCTTTGACTTGCATATTCTTCATAAACTTAAAATAGTTTAGTGACTCATTTCTGTATTATTACAATTATACATTTTTTATACAGATTATAGATTACAAATGTTACATTTATACTTTTTTATATTGATAAAAATCAGGTAAAAATATATATTTCGATATGTGGAAACCGTTTGAAGCTGGTAGTTCACCAATTGATTGGTGTGAACGCAATTATAGTATTTCTTCTAGTATTGCGGAATTTATGAATACGGTTTGTATGTACAATGATATAAACAAAATTCTTTCTTTTTTCTTTTTAAAATTATAGAACTTATAAATTCCTAAAATATTAAACTAAAAATATTTTTATTCACAGCTAAGTAATGTAGTATTTTTGTTACTTCCACCTGTTCTAATGCATCTCTTTAGAGATTATGGTCGATTCGTAAATCCTGGAATTCATATAATTTGGTTCTTACTGATGATAGTAGGTCTTAGTAGTGCATATTTTCATGCTACATTATCCCTTATAGGTAAGTAGTAATATATCATAGATTTATAGAACATAAATAAAAACATAAGAATTACTTGTTTTTTTGTCATAGGACAATTGCTAGATGAATTAGCAATTTTATGGGTATATATGGCTGGTTTTTGTATGTTTCTTCCACGAAGGTATTTTCCAAATATTTTACATAATGATAGAAAACTTCTTGCCATATGTGCAACTTTACCAACTCTAATTGCAACTGGTTTGTCATTTATACATCCCGCAATAAATGCATTTGCTTTAATGAGTCTTGGTATACCTGCATTTGGATTTATGATCATTGAATTAAAAAGGTAAAATTCTTAATTAACATCTATATAAGATTTTATGTTGTAATCTCTAATTATATCATCATGCATGCTTTTCTTAAGGACAAAATCAATGAGGGTTTATAGATTGGGTTTACGATGTGGTGCTGTATGGTTATTAGCAGTTGCTTGTTGGCTGAATGATCGTTTATTTTGTGATACTTGGCTGAACCTGAATTTCCCTTATTTACATGCACTTTGGCATTTATTTATTTTTATTGCAAGTTACACAGCAGCTGTACTTTTTGCATATTTCTCTGTAAAAGAGGAAAAGCCACAGCAATCACCAGTACTAAAGTATTGGCCAAAGAATGATTTTGAACTTGGTATACCATATGTAACTATTAGAAGTTATGTTAAACTTGATATAAATACAAATATATAATTATCAACATCAATATTATGAAGGCTGTTTTGTATTTAAAAATAATGATTAGTGATTTAAAACGCAATATACTATTTACTTTACTTATTTAAAGAATTTAACTTTGTACTAGCGTTTTTACAAAGAAAAATATACACATTTTATATTTATCTATCTTAATTCGAAGATAGATTTATTCATTTTTTAAATTTGTGATATTAATCTAGTTATTACTTATTGTACAAATATATGTGATTAATAAATTAGTAAGGTCTGTAAAAATGCAATATTAAGATAGTGTACAAGATATTTATTCTCTTGAAGTGTGAATTAATATTGTAATATATTGTAATTGTAGTTGTATTGTCTAAGAAAAGAGAAATAAAGGTAACATCGAGTTAGTGTTTTTCTTTTTATAACCTTGTTATTTAAATTAACATATGCTTAGACCAATTTAACATTTTATTTTTGTTCTCCTCTGTAAATAACAATATTTTTGTCAGTTTCGTAGATCTTGACTTCATATAAAAGATCTGAGTTAGGCATAATTCTTTTTAGTTCATTAAATATATATATAGCTACATTTTCAGTAGTAGAAACAGTATTTTTAAAATAAGGTACATCTTTATCCAAATTCTTATGATCCAGTTGATCCATTAACACTTTTTTCATAAATAATTTTAAATCTGATATATTCATGACCATACCTGTTACAGGATCTACAGGTCCACATACAGTCACTTCCACTAAAATAAAATATAATGAGAAATTGTGAACATTAATATAGCAATAATAGTTACCTGTATAATTATGACCATGTCCCCAATAGTTATTACATTTTCCATATATATTTTTATTTTCTTCCTCAGTTAAATTTTCACTGAAAAATATTCTTGTTTATAATATTTAAATATTCTTGTGTATCAGAAAAATTTTATGTATAAAAATAATCATATAATACTTGTGTAAACGGTGACAGCTGGATATTACTTCTTTTCTCGTTAAATACGCGATTGGACGTTCCATCATGTACATGTTTCACTAAAAAGTATGGAATGCGATTTCATAAAGCATTAAATGCAGGAAAAGAATTATTGTGCAAGGAACAGCATGATTATAAAAAAGATTGTTCAAGGATAATGAGAATTTTTTTGATTATGAGAGCATTTCTTATAAAACATATTATTTTTTGTAAATATTTACAATACTATATCATTTAGTCCTTTATTTTTATTTACTTATTATTTAACCAGAATTCAAATATACGAAGAATTTTTGAACAGAAACGTTTTATTTGTTAAAGTAAATGATAGAAATAGATAACAACTTGCTCAGGAGTCGGGAAAGATTCGATTGAGCCAATCCGAGTAGAATAATTGTATATTCATTAGACTTACAGAACGATTGCCTTTGCGAGTTTATATCAAAGTGAGTGAGTTTACGTTAGTAATGTTCATGTAAGTTATAAATTTTGATTCTTTAAAACGAAATGGCAAACATCTGTTGTTTTAATATGACCGTAATCTGATTATAAACTAGGTGATTGTATTGGTCGCTGTTGCTTCCGAATCGTCATGCCGGTAACGCCCTAGATCTTATAACAATTAGTCATCTCGCAGAATATGCAATATTTAATAAGTTTTAACATAACAAACATATAGTCCGTTTAAATAATAACATCATATTGAAAAATGGATAGCAAGGGTAGAAAAATTATTGTTTGCGATAACGGAACAGGGGTAAGGTTATAACTTTACTTTTATTTTTTGATTTCTATTTCGTTTATACCTTTTAAATTTATATTTTGTATAATTTTCTTTCTGAAAGTACCAAAGTAACATTATATTTTTATAGTTTGTAAAGTGTGGATATGCAGGAGCAAATTTCCCAGCACATATATTTCCATCCATAGTTGGACGTCCTATTATCAGAGCTGTCAATAAAATAGGAGACATTGATGTGAAGGTATATTTTTTAATTCTCCAATTATAGCAAATCAAATTTAGACTATTTATTGTATTTTCAATTATTTATTTAAAAAAGACTTATTAATGTAATTTATGGATAATATTTGTTGTTCTATATTTAATATATATTCATTGTTATAAAAATATACTACTTATTTTCCCTAAATAAAATAAATCATCTTTCTTTCATATTTTGTAAGGAACATTAGTAATTGAATTGATTATATGATTTTTTCAATTTGGAGTTTGAGATTCTTTTATTTAACCATAGAAACAAAATCATAATCCATCATTTCTATGCTGTTTATTAATAAATTTACTTAATTTTCAGCAAGAATATTGTATTCGTGTAAGTCACTTCATAATATTACACTGTGTGCCCCAGAGTTTAAGTCTGATTGAAAACGCATTTCTCATTTATTAACCTTGTTTACTAACCAAAATTAAAATGGATTGTGCATATTAAAAGTAAGACAGATATTTTTAAAAGTATTGGAATATATAACATCTTTGTTGAAAACTTAATTAGTAACTATGACAATCATAACATTATATTTTTCATTTTGATAACTTATAATAAATTTATCCAATATATTGCTAATTGTTTTTCTATTTATTGGTATTGAATAAATATAAGAAATAAAATATAAAATAGAATATTTACAGATGTTATATTTATACTTATATATGTGTGGATTTTTATATATCTTATATTTTTGAGACCTACTTAATGTAAATTTTTGCATTTGTTAACTGATTTGTATCCTTACACTTGCTCTCATAGGATGTGCTTAACATGCCTGTAAGTTCATTGCATTTTTTAATGTTAATATTTACATTTATCAATATTATGTCAGTACTTGACAAATTGGACATCTTTACAGTAATAGTTTCCATAAGTTACCCAACATTGATCTCTGAGTAAGAATCTATTAGTATTCTACCATCTCCTAGTTTTTTATATGTTATATTAATTTAAACAATTAGCGTTATAAAATTTAAAAAAACTTGTATTTAATTTTATTCTCGATTTTTTCATAAAGGTAGAATGTATTAAGTTATTGAAATATTAACAATTTCTATTAACATGTTATATTTCATCTGATAATAATCTACATAATTACATATTTTCATTATGTTTCACATTAATAGGATTTAATGGTTGGGGATGAAGCAAGCAAACTTCGGTCTATGCTAGAGATAAGTTATCCAATGCAAAATGGAATTGTTAGGTGTGTATATGCCCATATATAATTTGTACGTACTATGAGATATTTAATTATTTAAATATCTAATAGAAATTGGGAAGACATGTGTCATGTATGGGACTATACTTTTGGAAAGGAAAAAATGAATATTAATCCTAGAGAATGCAAAATTTTATTAACAGAACCACCAATGAATCCTATCACAAATCGTGAAAAAATGATTGAGGTAATATCAAGTTATCGTTATATATGATATATTAATAATTTAATTATGATACTCTTATTTTCTCAAATTATAATTGAAATATTGCAGGTAATGTTTGAAAAATATGGTTTTGCTGGAACATATATTGCAATTCAAGCAGTACTTACATTGTATGCTCAAGGATTGATTAGTGGTGTTGTAGTAGATTCTGGTGATGGAGTCACTCATATTTGTCCTGTATTTGAAGAGTATGCTTTACCTCATCTCACACGACGACTGGATATAGCTGGTCGAGATATTACAATGTATTTAATAAAACTTCTTTTATTACGTGGCTATGCATTTAACCATTCAGCTGATTTTGAAACAGTTAGAATGTTAAAGGAAAAATTATGTTATATTGGCTATAATATAGAAACTGAAGAAAAATTAGCTCTTGAAACAACTGTTTTGGTTGAATCATATACTGTAAGTGAATTTTGTAATGTAAAACAAAATTTATGACACTGAAATATGTTTTGTACCTATAATCTGTTTTAGCTGCCAGATGGGAGGGTAATAAAAGTAGGTGGAGAGAGATTTGCAGCACCAGAAGCTTTATTCCAGCCTCATCTAATAAATGTTGAGGCTCAAGGAATTGCTGAATTAGTATTTAGTACTATTCAAGCAGCTGATATTGATATAAGAAGTGAATTATATAAACATATTGTTTTAAGTGGTGGCAGTACAATGTATCCTGGGCTTCCGTCTAGACTCGAAAGAGAAATTAAGCAACTTTATCTTCAAAGAGTATTAAAAAATGATACTTCGAAATTAAATGTAATTATAAAATATCTTATATTTTTTTCTCAATTTTTTAATGAATATATATTATTATTTCGTTATTCTTTAATATTTTTCAGAAATTTAAGATAAAAATTGAAGATTCCCCGAGACGTAAAGATATGGTTTTTATGGGTGGTGCTGTATTAGCAGAAATTACAAAAGATCGTGAATCAGTATGGATTACAAGAGAAGAATATGAAGAAAAAGGTCTTAGTGTATTAAAAAAATTAGGTTCTTATGAATCATAAGGAAAATAGTTATTGAAATATAGAAAAGAAATATACATTTTTTTATACATTTGAAATCGTTCCAAAGTGCAAAGCATATATATTTTATATTCACGATTGATTTATACCAAATTATTTCAAGTATATACAGGTAACAAGTATAATTAGAGAGGCATATAATGCAGTATCATAAGTTTTAAAAATATTAAGTTTTTAAATTAGAATTAATTTTATTTAAATACATTAACATATGATTGTATTGGAATTAAAATGTTATTAAATTTGATATAAATTGACTTAAATTTTGTAGACTATCCAACTATTTCTGGAGTATTGTATACTCCATATGTGTATATTTGCCATAACGCATATAGCATATTTGTGGATGATACATTGTAAATATATTGTTTATTAGTACTTCAATCATAATCAATTAAATTGCAATCTTTTTCAATAGAGATACATCATGAATTACAAATAATTGTATGTCTATTTATTCAGTTTATAATTATTTTATAATGTTCGAATTAAATATTGTATCTATAATTGCTCAAACTAGCAATTTGTTAATATAATGGCTAAAATTAAATAATTAAATTTGTAAATA